AAACACCAAAGTGATTGAGCCACTCAACTTACTACATATTGATCTTTGTGGTCCATCAGCCATTGAGAGTATTGGTGTTAACAAAATACATTCTAGTTATTGTTGATGATTTTTCTAAATTTACCAAGGTTTATTTTCTTAAACAAAAATCAGAATCTACTTCAAAGCTTAAGGACTTCATCAAGCCTATTGAACTTCAACTGTAAAAGTTGGTTCATAATGTTCACAGTAATAATGGTTTGGAGTTCAAAAACCAAGTGTTCGAAGAATTCATAACTTCAAGATGAGTTGTTCATAATTTTTCTGCTCCGTATACTCCTTAGTGGAACGGGGTCGTTGAAAGGCAAACCGGTCTTCCTGCAATGTTGCGAGAACCATGTTGTCTTTTACGAATCTCCCTCTTTACTTCTACGTTGAGGCTATTGGAACTGTCCGATTTACTCAGAATCGATGTCTCATTAATAAACATTTCTCAATTACTCCCTACAAGATTCTTCCATATATATGGATCCAGGTGTTTTATCTTCAATTCTAAAGAACAATGGAACAAATTTGATGTGACAGCTGACGATGGAATTTTTCTTGTCTATTCTCTGACCTCTAAAGCTTACGAAGTTCTCAACAAGAAATCCAAAAAAATTGAAGAAACCTATTATGTAACATTCGAAGACAATTATCTGAAGATTTATCAGATGTTGGATCGGCAATCTGATGAGATCTTTCCTGTAACAAATCCAATGATGACTCTTCTCTCGAATCTCTATGAGGAATTCATGAATCTATTTGACGAGCCTGATAAGGTGATCTCTTCGGAATCAAAAGCCACAAATAACAAGGGAGAGGAACTCAAGAAGATTAGCGATGATGATTTGAAAGATCTAAGAAACAAACCACTCAATCCGAAGACCTCTGAGAATCCATCACCAAAGTCCAAGAATGCTTCAGTGCAGGGGGAGGGCTCTACATCAACCTCCTCATTGAAACCTACTCCTCAGGTTCATAGTAATTGTTAAATCTAGTCGGAGAATGAAAACCCCAAAGTAAGCCTCGAACCACCATTTCAAGATGAGCCTTCAAGAGCCACATGCACCATTCCAGGGAGAGAATGGGACTGAAAATAATGACTCAGATGCCTAATCGGAATTCAAAGAAGTAAATGCTAAATTGGATCCATCCTATGATTCGACAATACTCCCCTAGCTAAATGGACCAAGGATCATCCAAAATGACAAGTAATTGGTTCAACCTTTTCTGGAGTTCTCACCAGAGCTCAGCTAAAAGCGAATCATACGGGATTATTTTCCAAAATGGAAATTTGCATATGTAACCCGTTCATTTCTATAATTAAGCTAAAAACAATGAAGATTTCCCTCGATCATTCTAATTAGGTGCAGACTATGCAAGAAAAGTTGCACAAAATTCGAGCGCAAGAAAGTTTGGAGGCTGATTCCAACTCCGAAAGATGCATCTGTGGTACGTTTGAAATGGGTGTTTTTCAAAAAGCTTGACAAAGAAGGGAATGTGATCAGGAACAAATATTGATTGGTAGTTAAGGGGTATTGCCCAGAGGAAGTCATATAATATGAAGAAACATTCGTACTACTTGCAAGACTGGAATCAGTTCACATCTTCTTAGCATATGCAGCTCACAAGAACTTTGACGTCTATCAAATGGATATGAAGTATCCAAACCGTTGCTAAATTATGGATCAGTTTGTGTATGGTCTGAAGCAAGCTCCATGAGCATTGTATCAAACTTTTACTTGATTTTTAAAACAAGCTAAATTTAAACAAGGATCGGTCGACCCAAACCTTCTTTTGCAAGAAAGATGCTGAACATTTAATGATTGTCCAAATTTACGTTGATGATATCATTTTCGGATAAACTAATCCATGTTTAACTGTTGAGTTCCGAAAGTTGATGGTAAGTAAGTTTGAGATGAACTCCATTCGTCTGATTAACTTTTTACTTGGTTAGACATAGTCAACAAAGTATATTAATAAATCAGGAGGCTTATACGAAGACCTTACTTGAAAAGTTCGTCATGATGGGTGATTTGAAGGTCAAAGTTCTAATGGAATTCGAAACGAAACTAACTCCATCTTTTGACAAATAAGCTGCTGATATGACTCTCTATCGACAAATGAAAGGTTCATTGATATATATAACAACAAGTCCTCCAAACATTATGTTTTTTGTTTTCTATTGTGCCAAGTTCCAAGAAAATCCATGCAAACCCCATATGACTGCAGTAAGGAATATCTTCAGATATCTTAAACGAACAACCTCACAAGGAATATGGTACCCTTTGAACTCCGGGTTCTTGGTGCAGCCATTCTCTCGCTGATCTTTGAGGTTGCGGTCTTGACCGAAAAAGCACAACTAGAGGTTGTCAGTTTGTTGATGGAAAACTTGTAAGTTTGTAGTCGAAGAAGCGAACGTGCATCTCCTTATCAACTGTTGAAGTTAAGTATAATGTTTTTGCCTCTTGTACGTCACAAGTTATTTGGATTCATGTCAACTAAGGGATTATGGGATTAATAAGAAGAGAATATCACTATCTTGTGATTCTGAAAGCACCATTCGAATTTGCCACAATCCAGTGCAACACTCCAAGACCAAACATATCACACTGAAGTATCAATTCATAAAAGATCATGTGGAAGATAAAAATGTCAAAATTCACTTTTTCAGATCCGCTGATCAATTAACTGATATCTTTATGAAAGCATTACCTAAACAAACTTTTAATCAAATTCTATAAGGCTTAGGAATGATATAAGCTAATTTTATTCCGAAATCAGTTTACTAATGAAAAATAGTGATCTTACTCCGAACTGCTTCGATCTAACAGTTTTGGTCTCGGTTCCGAATGGATGTGAACGCTTGGAGTAACTCGGAGTCCACTGTTCATCTGAATATTCAAAAGTTTCATGTCCTCTGTATAATAATTTTTTTTTTTGATTAATTAAGTTAGTATTGTCTATTTTGTTTTGAGTTTATGAATTCTCTGTTTTTTATTTCTTTTTCCTAAAATTCAAAAATCTCAAAAATATTTTCTTTTTCTGTTTTTATTTCTTTTTCAGAAAATTCAAAAATCACCAAAAATATTTTTCATTATTTTGTGTAAAGTATTCATCATGTATTTTAGCTGCAAATATATACTGGCTTCAAATAAGAACATTGGGGAATGGTTTCTAACTCCGAATTCTTTTACTAGTTAAGTGTCCCTAGAAGCATGTTGCAACATGTTTTCCAAAGCCTCTGAGACTCTATGTTCGAGTCATTAACGGATCAATAATACCAATCGTCTCTTTCCAAATAGGCTATTCATTCACATAAGTCATTGAGCTACCTTAATCTTCTCAAATGATTTAAGACTTGACTGTTTGCTCATTCATAATAGCAGAGGTACATCTTCTCTTCAGAACCACCTCAAACAATTCTTCATCATTTTCACTTTCATAAATGTAGCCCTCGAGACTCTCAGCAATTACCATTGAGGTTTATGGTTACAGAACGTATGCTTTATGATCTTCAATTCGTTATTACCATGAATTGAGTGAAACCAAAAATTCGAAACCTATTTTTGAATTAACGGTGAACAAATAATATGTTCTAGATTTTTCACCATGGAATTGATGAGTAACAACCTTCATGGTTTGTACCTTGAAATCTTGATGTTTTTATTTTTGTGAGATCTTTATGAAATGTTCTATATCTAAGACATTTCTTCCCTAAAGGTCCAATTTTATTTTTCTTGAGATTTCCATATTGTCCAGCTACTGAAATAATTCCTAAGCATAGTTGTTTTTATGGCTAAACTGGTCAGACAAATACTTAATCCGAATATTCGAACATATATTGAGTTTCAGAGTTTGGTTTAAGACAAAGCCACCTGTAAACCGAAATGAGTAGAAGCCTTTCACTGTTTCTCAACAAACAGATGATCGTACTTCAATAGGATACCACACAGACACTTATGAGTCTCTCTTGACTCCGAAGGAAGAGATCTTTGCTCAGGATCCATTTGCTTTTATGTCAATTTTGACATCACAGATTCCCATACATTTTGATTTATTTCTTAATCTTTGGCACACTTTTGCACAAAAATGCATGTGATTCTCCAAAAGTCTGATTTCTATTATTCTGAATTTCAAATTAAAAGAACATGTATTGGCAATATATTCCGAATGTACAGAACTAAAACGGTGGATTTTAAGGGATAAGAGTTATTTGGGCGCATGAATTTTTTTCAAACCAGTCCTGACATCACGTTGTCAGCTATGTCGGCTGACATCACGCCTGTCAGTTACGACTTTTTAGGTGCCTTCTCAGAGATATGGGAGCACCAAATTCCAGATTTGTCTCATTAATCCCATCTTATAAAAGGCTAATTGATGCTTGATTACAATTTAACTCTTTCAAAGCTCTCGATCTCTATGGCAAGAAAAACCATTTTCTCTTAAACATTGTTCCTCTTCTCCGTTTGCATCAATGGCTAGCTCTTCTAAAACTTTTTATGTTGATGAGAAAATCGGTTCTACTATGATGTTGTCCATCAAAGGTAATCAAAATCTCATTCTCGATCTCAACTGAATAAAATACTCTAATGATCTCAAGCCGATGGTTGAGTGTCTGAAATACTCTCCAATCGCTCAAGCTTTAGCAATGGCAGAACATGTGCCCCCAGTTTCTCTCTCAGGCATTCTCGTTTGATTTCTTCAATTAAAATGAAGGGTTTATCACATTCGAAATTGATCCCCACAAGACTTCCATCTCATGAGATTTTTCTGTAGATTTCCCCTTAATATATAGTGAGTAAATGATGTTAGCAACAATATATAACAATTAAATGACTTATCTTGTAGTGATTATAGTATACAGAATAAAGTATGGTTGGTTTATGAGATAACCACATTATATTATAAAGATGGTTCTCTTCCATATTCTATTATTTTTGGTTTTCTAGTAGCAGTTTCGTAAATGTAATAACTTACTGAACCTTTAATAAACATCTTTCATTATAATTATTTTATATTGTTAATACAACATGAAGAAGGAAAAAAAAATGCCATTTACAATGACCGAAACTCAATCCCTTGAATGACAAGGCCTCGCATATTGTTAGGTGCCATAAACATAAGACTCTTTTCAATAGTCTTGGTGGCATCTGTTGTCACTTCAAACAATGAAAGTTCCATCCAACCATCCTTCCTCAATTTTGGATAGCCTTTTATTTTGCATGGGTGCGATAAACTCTCATAGTTTTGATCAACCATGGATTGAATAACAGGGGTAGGAGGTGGACGGGCTAAAAAGAATTGACTACGTTTAAAGGGATTCTTACTCTCCATCTTTATGAGATTATCATGCAAGGGAGAGTCTTTGGGTAGTTTGTATATGAGAAGACCTGAATAAGTTACCGGGGACAACAATTCTGACTTGATTCGGAAAAAAACTTCAAAACGTTGTTGGTCAAGAAACTCGGCCACCACTTCAAATCTGTAAATAGTAAGATTAACATGTTATGGAGATGATAGAATTGTAGTATGGCATTTTGGTCATCAAAGCAAGCATCAAATGGTGCAACCATATCAACATGGCAATAATATGTTTATATATTTAGACTGTTTGAGACAACCATGTATGCCTTTAGAAAAATAATTTATAATAGTACAAGTAAAGTACCTAAACACACAATCCAAACAAAGAAGAAATCTATTTTTTTAAGTTGTCGCGTATCATTTAATTGATTTTTTCAACATATCATGTTAATATTGGTTTAAAAGCAAAACATGTTATTTGATTTTACTTTCATATCATATACTTATTACTTAATTGAATTGGTAAATAGAAACCCAAAATTTTGAACTTTCGCATGTGTCTACTCGATCCAGTTTTATATTTACAGTATGGAGATTTTTGTTAAATGCTAGAAGTTAGAAGCTTCAAACACCCCGTGCCGAACATGCTACTTCTTAAAAATATCTACCAAATTAGAAGATACTCATTTAACCAGAGATCCATTTTTGATGTCGCCTCAAATCAGGTTATTTAAACACCATTTCCTCATCTGATCCCCTAAAGTAAACCTTATATTTCTTTTTGCCAACAACTTTAAAAATACACCTACCCACACCATCGTTGTACAGAGCATCAACTACTTCAAGCTAACAGACCAGGATGAGGACGTACGTGGTTGGTTTATTTTTTTTTTGGTATCAACCACTGCTGTCAAAAAATATGCATCTTCATCGTTCCTCAAGGATTCAGCTTTCGAAAGAGTATATTACCTTGGATTGTTCATCCTCTAACGTTGTCACTGATTTCAGCTTTCGAAGAAACAATTTTGGTGAAGGATTCAACCGTAAAATCATCAATTTCTAAAACCTAGTTTTTGTTCGAGAGGTCATACGGTGAGAAAGAGGATGTGTTTGATAGATGTAATAAAATACCTCTGTAGGTTCATTAGGAACAAAAAATCTTTTTGAACAGCCTACTTCATCAAGTATGAAGTAAGAACTGAAGCAGGTGGAAAGGGAGGTGGGGAAGCGAATGATGGGAACATAGCGGTCGAGAAAGGTGAAGCAGGTTAGTGTCATTAGGGGGGGGGGGGGGGGGGGGGAATGGTTGAAAGGGAGAAGTCAGTGGAGCAGTTGGTGAGCCAGAGGGAGAAAAGGTGGCTGAAGGGAGTGTCGATATCACAAACAGCAGGTTGTGAGACGACGGTTGTGGTGGAAGATGAGGATGATGCGGAGGAGCAGGAGGGATCCGGTTGAGGAAGGTCTCATAGTTAGAGAGTTTGTGTTTGTGTTACTGTGTGTGAGAGAAAGTCTATGTTTGTGTTGGGTGAAGCAGGTTAATCATATCCACAATAAACATGATGATTACGAATGTGTTCACCGGGTGACCCCTTGATTTTTTTACAAAGGGATGTTTTAAATGCTAAAAACTTGAATTTGTACCCTTAGAATGCAAAAAAATAACATAAAAGACCATTTAAAACAAAACCTATTAGTTGGTTGGGCTACAATGACAATAACCATATATATTAACATGTATAATGATAGAAAAAACAAATTAAATGACTTTTTGTTAATAAATAAATACAGATATTGACGAGCATGTAATTTATATTTAGATACTTGTATTATACCATATCAAAAAAATTTAAAATACAAAACTTAAATCTTTATAAACTAAAAAAGCAATAATTTTGAAAATCAAGTTAGCAAATAAATATTACTACTTTGTTATAAGACAAAATAATTTCTGCTAATTTTTTGATACCAGTGTTCCTCTTGTTTCTAAAACATCCATGGATGGTCCTAAACAATATGAAATGAGATTTTTCCTCTATTTAATTTCTTACAGAATTTTTTTGACAAAATTGCAAAACTAGTAACTGTAGTTAGCTGAAAATTACCACTTTTGTCAAATAAGCTTTGGACTAGCATCACGAGTCCAAAACTTCGATTTTATTCCGAGTTTGGTCCAAAATATCCTGAAAATATTTAAAATGACGGATTTTCCCTTAGGTGTTTTTTTTTTTTTTTTTTTTTATTTCATTTAATATTTTTCTAATTAAAAAAAGAACAAAAAGAAACCACCCCACCTACTCAACCCTTATCTTTGACACCTTATACACACTTCCCTTTCATCAGTATCACCTTCAACAATTATCGAAGCACTCGCGAGAGATTTGCAACAATCTAGCCAACAAAACAACCACCACCAAAACCCCACCCCTTTTTATATCCTTTTCTTGTCATAAGACTTGCATCATCAATGTCAACACCATCACTCAACAATACAACCACCACCACCGATACCTATAAATGGCACCAATAAATAACACCTCCATCTATAAACAACACCAACATCATAGATCCGACATAAACATCATTTTTCCTTATATCTCTCACTTTCTCTCACACACAGATGTGATGTGGAACGCCACATCTCTCGCAATCTCTCTTACAGATCCAACAATGGTAAGGTGGTCAGACAAATCAGAAGATTGAGGGCAAATTAGGAGATCGAAGGTTCGTCAACTGCACAATACAAGAATACAAAACAGAAGATTGAAAGTTTTTTTTTTTTTTTTTTTTTTTTTTTTGCATAGTATAAGATACGTCGTTGTCTATACCTTCACCATTGCAGATGCCATCGCTATGGTTTCGTATCTGCAAATCCTTATTCTGGTGGCCCTCTCAGACAGTTTAAGCCTCTCTCTCGGATTTGCAAATCCTTACTCTGACGGCCCTTCTCTGGAAAGACAAAGCTAGGGTTTTTTTAACCCACAACGAGATCTAGCCCTAACTCCGATGATTCCGACGTTAGCAGATGGTCATTATAGAAAAGTTCAGAGCAAATTGGACCAAACTCGCAACAAAATGAAAAGTTTGGACTATCCAAACTTGTTTGGACAAAAATGGCAATTTTCGACATACCACAAGGACCATTCTTGTAGTTTTGTCTAAAAATTAAGGAGGAACAATTTGAACAGCTAACTTCCAACTCCTTTGACTAAAAGTGTTGTTAGTGTTCAAGATTTGATAATTGTTATAATTGATAATTCAAAACAAGCATCCTCGGATGGATCAATAAACTATTGCAACCACGGTAACTATTGATCATAGAAAAATAAAGTCACACATTGGCCGGTCTAAAATAACCTAATGTTCAGACTAACGACAAGTCGAAGCTATGATGTGGAACATCTTATTTAAATGCAATTATTTATCCTTGTTAATTCGGTGCAAAAAAGAGCCAAGTCTAAACATGAAAATTCTTTAATTTTTAACCCTATCTAAAATAACAACAACATTATTTCCATGTCAAAACGTACAAGAGCATCCACAATATGAGATGTTTTTTCATGACACAGCTCAACATCCCAAAAACCTTCATACATCTCAACAATAGTTGAGTTTTTTCATGAGCTTACTAATGGGACATATCAAAGGTTGTTTTATAGAATTTTATTGCTTTTTATAACAACTGTCTTTTTTGTTGCTAACGGTGCCTATCAAATTTTTTTGAAAAGCTAATCCTGATGGCTATGAAAAAGCTCACAATAGGAGCAAAGGTTTTTTAAAAGCTCTTGAAAAAGTTTCTATTGTGGATGCTCTTAACATATTAGATTGTTAGAACACATATTCTACACCATTTAAATTTAAATTTAGCCTGAATATATTTTAAATTTCATAAATTCCAAAGTTGAAGTTTTCACACAAGGTGAAACTCTTGGGTAAAGGGTTGATTTGAGACGGAAGAACCTTAAATGTTAAGCTTTGTGTCCCATATCACACTTGGAATAATATATCACACTTGGAATAATAGAAACCAAGGAATCACCTTTATAGATGTGAAGCAAATGGTGCTTAGTTTCATGGGCTTTTTATCAATTCATAAGGTTTTATAATTTTTTAACGGGACACTCTTAATTTTTTCAGTTATATATAAAAGTAAAATATGATGATTGTCGATTTAATATATATATATATATATATATATATATATATATATATATATATATATATATATATATATATATAGTTTTATGGCGAAACCAAGATTGGTCGGCTCCTCTTGGTTTAAGGTGAATCCGCCCATGGTGACCATACTTCTACTGTGATCATTTATAGCCATAAGACTCATCCGCATGGCATGTACATTATTCAAATATTGATAACTAACAAGCTTAATAACATATTAACATGTAAATCTTAAAATATCTCATACACCTATTTCTAAACTAATTAATTTATTTAAGAAAGAGAGATTACCTTGTTTCCGGTAAAGACTTCCAAATCCAATCACCCTTCACCAAAATTGCTCTTGCAGATATCATGAGACGTATCTTCATCTTTTTGCTAAAAGAAAGCCACTAGTCATCGAAATCAGATTTGATAAGTATTAAATGAACCTATCATACGCATAATTACTAATTAATTAAAAAAATCAACTATACATTACAATAGCTGTTAAAATACTTACCAAATTGGAAGATTTGTCTTCACCATTGTCGATGAGGAACCCCTTGCGAAGAAGAAAGTAGTGTTCTTTCTTAGTTGTCCACTTTATATAATCTTTTGACAAGTTGATTAAATCTATATAATTGGGCCACATTTTTTGTTCCCAATCTGCATCCGAAGTTGATATTTGTTCCACATCCCCCTTGTTTTTGTCCTCAAGATTTTCGTATAACATACACATCCGTGTTGATTTTAACTTCATATACATTTTTGACAAGCCGAAACTTGAAATTAAGATAGATTCAAGAAATGATGAGTTTATGATACATCGATAATTGATTTTCTCAACTTACATGCTCCATGGGCCGAAACTCAATGCCTTCAATTTTGGATCGTGAAAATGTTATAGAATCTGATAAGAACTCAATTTTAAAATCATGTTCTCTTTGGTAGCTAGTAAACTGGTAAAGTTCAGCCATTAGCCATCCGTCTTTTCTCTGATGAACAGCACCTGACATCAAATAATCTGTCTCCTCTTCCAATTTGTATTTGAAGGGTATATATATCCCATAATTCTTGATCCTAGGCTTAAAGATAAGGTTTATCGTGTATGGGATAGCTGTCGATAAAAACTGAGTTCTCACTTCTACTTTGAAAACAAAACTATGTACACGGAAGATTTTCGAAAACCTGCACTTCACAATCATAGGTGTTTAAACTTACATACTTCATTCACTCGATAGAAAACGGGTAATGTAGCATCTGAAGAAAAAAAATCATTTACTTTTAAAGCTTTCTAAACAATGAATTCTTTGAGATTTCATTAACTATATTTATTGTAATAGAGTAAATTACTGAAATTGTCCCTGTGGTTTGGTCAAAATTGCACATTTGGTCCCTAACTTTTTTTTTGCACTCAGATCGTTCCTGCGGTTTGATTTTGTTGCGTTTTTCGTTCCTGTGGTTTGATTTTGTTACATTTTTCGTCCCTTACATACATAAAGTTAGGGACTAAACATGCAACTTTTACCAAACCATAGGGACGAAAAACGCAACAAAATCAAACCACAAGGACGATCCGAGTGCAAAAAAAAGTTAGGGACCAAACGTGCAATTTTGACCAAACCACAAGGACGATTTCAGTAATTTACTCATTGTAATATAATACTACCCATATAAAGAAGCAAAAAAGTGACAAATAAACATATATTCATTCATAGAGAGAAGCCACTAACCTTGAAATTTCAGCAGTCACTTGAAACACAAATCCTTTCACACATTCTGCTGCAGATATCATTTCATGAACTTTTTTGTTTTTATTTATTGAAAGCCACTGTCATACAAACATAATCAGTTCATCACGTCAATAAATGTTTATTTAACAAAATACAAAGAGGTTAATAACAGAAAAAAGATAACTAAATTAAACCAAAGCTATAAGATAATTAATATTCTATTTTGAGCAATCGATAAAATAGGATAGATATTAACTGGTAAATATAACATTTATATGCAAATGACTTTCTGTGGCAACATTGGTTGACCAAAATAGAAAAAATTAATCAATAAAAGTGACAATTTCCAACTAACCACCCTATTTGTGCAGTTTTGTCTAAATAAAATAGAAGTTGATAGAAAAAACTATAAAGCCTGTGACTTGAATAGAAATTTTCAAAGTTGACTCCTTTTCTCTTGATCAAAAATCTTTAACAAGAATATTAGCAGTGTTGGTTCCTTTTTAATGCAATTTGTAGCAAATGGAAAGTTTCCTTCCACTGCTAAATGAAAATTTTGATTCAGACGACACGTCTTTTCTTGCATTTTACCAAAAAGACTCCTGCTAAATATTACCACGTTTACCAATTACAAGTATGATAAAACTTCAAAATTATTTCGCTAAATGCTCTGCTTTAAAGGAAATTAATCAAAATAAAACCATATATAATACCAAATTACCAATATTAAAGATAATTACCCTTTTGCCCTGATCAACAAGAATCCCTTTCGAGAGAAGCAAGATGAGTTCATCGTGTGATCTGTAGGACAGTGGAGGCACCGCAAGTTTTGAAATCTCAACTAAATTCCTGTTGTAAGCAATATTCTGCAGAAACAATTTGAAGTAATTTTTACCTTAAAAAAAAAAAAAAAAGGATGTTATATTGGAACTTTTTTTATGATATACTTACTTGTTGTTCAAGTGCAACCTCAAGTTCTTTCACAATCTCATCCATCGTTGGTCTTTCTCTACGATCTCCATTTAAACATTGGTTTCCGATTGTTGAAAAAGTTATCAAAGAATCCGGATTTATTTGTTCCTTAAGATCTTTTAGGATAATATCATCTAGTTTTTTTTCATGATAACACCGTTTCCAATCATGCACTAAAATGCCATTAATTTGACCATTACGATGTTTGTAACATAATCTTCCACACAGAACTTCAAACAGTACCACACCAAAGGAATACACGTCAGACTCTTTTGATAAGAAACCTGTCTCTCCATATAACGGATCACAATATCCCTGTGTCCCCACAGGATGGGAGAAGAGATATGATCGCGTTTGATTTGATGGCCAAATCTTTGACAAGCCAAAATCAGAAACTTTAGCATTCCACTGCTCATCCAGAAGGATGTTTGCACTTTTAATGTCTCGATGGAGAACTATTTGTTGTGTTTTCATAGGATCATGAAGATATTTCAGCGAATGTGCAACCCCGATGCATATATGTAGGCGTTGCTCCCATGTAAGACTACTGTCACTTAGATAGTGGTCAAGACTTCCATGCGAGGCGTATTCGTAAACAAGCACTCTCTCGTCACCCTCAATGGAAAAGTGCAGGAGAGAGACAAGATTTTCATGTTTGCAATCCGAAAGCATCAATATCTCCTTCCAAAACTCGATATTTCCTTGCCCCAATCTAGGATCTAAGCGCTTAAAAGCTACCATTGTTGGTCCTGTAAGAAGAGAGAGTTCTCCTTTGTAAACCGGACCAAACCCACCTCGACCGATGAGTTTGGTGGGATTAAAGTTGTCAGTGGCGGATATTATATCTTCCATTTGAATTTTGAGATGATCGAACTCTTCTATGTCAGCATCGGTAAGCGGTGGAACACCATCTCTAGGTAGAGCCATGACCCTCGGTTCTTTAATATCGCAAACACTCACAAGTTTCAGCGCATCCTTAATACTCGTTTTACGGTGATGGAGAATAGTTTCTGCCCCTTTCAGCCACTCGATCCCCCTTGACGATTGGCTTCAAAGTTAGAACAAAACATAACTAGTTAATTACAATAACAGATCAAGTTAATTTTATATTCATGTATAATTATATAACATAACAAACGATGAACTAATTCAGGGTTTTCAAAATTACCAACCAGAAATTACGTTGAAACTTACAAATTTTGATGCTTGGAGGCGGAGAGAATAGGGAGTCGGTGAGGTCGAGAAGAGAATTGGGTAAAAACCACTGTTCTAAAAATCAATACCACCGTTCTATTTGAAACCAAATTTGAAATGACATTTAAACAATATCATAATACTAAACTTCATTATATATATATATATATATATATATATATATATATATATATATATATATATATATATATATATATATATATATATATATAGTGTTCTAAAAGGCGCGTCATGGCGTGAGGCGTGGCTCCGCGGTTACGAAAGCTTCATAACGTTGCTGTTAGGCGTGGCGCGTGGCAAGGCGTGATATGGCGCGCCATGGCGCGTTATGGCGTGTTATGGCGCGCGTTTTTTCGTTTGAGACACGATTTTTTGCTCTTCGTTATGTCTTTTCTAATCGGAGATACACGTATTGTGGTTTTCGTTAAAATTTTGTTACTAGTTATTGATCTAACACTTCTAAAAAGTAGTTATATTTAATAAAAATTTATAGTTCTGTGGTAATATAATTTTAAATTAATACGAAATCGCCGCCTTACATCACGCCTTGAAAAACACCATGGCTCGTTAAGTTTGAGGCTTGACCTTGCCGCCACGCCATATCTCACGCCATTTAGAACCTTGTGTGTGTGTATATATATATGGATTTTTTTTATTTTATATCTTATTTAATTTTTTATCTTTTGAGTATAAAGAAATGAAATATGGTATTTTTTTTAACTAGTTTTAAATAAGTATATAAAAAAATAACTTATTAAATAGTTTTAAGTCGTTTTTTGAACGGAAAACATACACGTACATTTTAATAGACGATATTAATAGTAGTTGTTATGACGTTATAATAGTTGTTTTTCTTATATTTAAGATTATTCGTTTAAAAAGAAAAATAAAATTTTTTAAAGCTGAATAAAAAAAAAGTAAAGGATATAAGCGAATGATGTAACCAAAAACACATAAAATAACATTAAATAATTATATTTAATGTTTAATAGTGAGGTTCTATTTTAATTTTTTTACTCGAGAAAATGACAAATAAAAAAATTTTAAAAACATTGTATATTGTGAGAGAACAAGACATAAAAAAATATTAAATCGTATATGATGTCAAAAATATTAAAAGATTTTTAAACTATAAAAACAAATATTGATAAATAAAGGTAACAATAAATAACAATATGATATATATAATTATAATTAATATTAAAAACTAAAAGTAATTTTATAAAAAATCTATACAAATTCAATTAAAATAAAAAAGAAAAATAAAATTGTTATATAATAATAATAATAATAATAATAAATTGTTCAAAGAAAAAAAAGAATAAGAAAAAGAAATAATAAGTTATTCTTTTATAAGAAACAATGACTAAAACCGTAATATTTATAAACAAGACAAAACTGCAAATTTAGTCCTTGTGGTTTACAAAAATCTTTGGATAGGGTCCAAAAAGTTTTTAACTTGCATGAGAGGTCCAATATCAAGGTTTTTCTGTGTTTTTGTGTAACAGCTCAATTTTTCAAATAAAATTTTCATTTAAAATAAAACATCATTATTCGACAAAAGAGTTATTTCCAATTTTATTGTAAAAGTATAAATAATAAATCCTCAAGATCTTCCGCAGTGGCAGTGTGTACGTGTCACGCCGGCGCCTTCCCACGGTCATCGTTAGTACCTGAAAAACATAAACACAACTAGTAAGCATAAATGCTTAGTGAGTTCCCCAGTATACGACTTACCCACATACGCCTTCCGGCCCGGACCTTTCGGTCCACATAACATTGCCTTCCGGCCCGTAACATAACCGCCTTCCGGCCCATAACATATCGCCTTCCGGCCCGTATTACATTGCCTTCCGGCCCATAGTATTTTGCCTTCCGGCCCATATTAGTATAAAACATAACACATGTAACATATTACACATAACACGTAAGTCATACATCATACCGTTCTTTCTATCACATAAAGTCTCGCCTTCCGGCCCGTATAAGCATGCATCACATATAAGCATACATCACATATAAAGCATCTACCTCTCTAGACATGGCATAAATATAACACATACGACCTTCCGGTCACGCAGTCAAATCCTTCCGGGTGAAGTATAGTGAGAAGACTCACCTCGTAGTATGCAAGCTATAAACCCTTTGAGCTACTCGCACTCGATCCACAAATCTGCAGGCTCCCTATAATACCACATACCTTTATTAATGATCTTATCAAACAAGACAACTGACCCTACTACATTACATACAGGTCAACGGTCAACTTGACCGGACTCGTCGAGTGCAAAGGGCAACTCGGCGAGTCTAGACACCCCGACTCCACTCGCCGAGTCTAAAGAACGACTCGACGAGTTCCAGTAGATCTTCAAGCTACTCGCCGAGTCTGAAGAACAACTCGGCGAGTCCTAGTGAATCTTCAAGCTACTCGCCGAGTCTGATCATTAGACTCGGCGAGTCCTCGCCATGCAGTCAATTCGCTGCCTCCTGTATCTCGCATGATTCCGTAGTATATAGATATGGGACTTCCTGTACTTTCACATATACTATTATAGGGATTTAAACACTTGTAACAACACTATAATCTATCAATTCCTTAAATGGGTTTCCTAAACCCTAAATTCGCATACAATGCAAAAGCTACAAATATGATCCGAAGATTACCTGGAAACGTGTTCCCTGTGTCCCCAACCTTCAGAACTCGACCCCTTGAACCTCCTTTGATCACCACCTTGCTTCTCCTTGTCTACAACCTCTTCAAGCTTCCACTAGCCCTCACCCTTGCTCCAGATGCCCACAGACTCCTAAGGTATCTTCAATCGGCCAAAAGACGAGACATGACGGCCCTAAAGGCATTATATACGATTCAGAATCAAAACAGCTAGGGTTTCAGCTGAACAGCGTCGACTCGCCGAGTCCCTATTGGACTCGTCGAGTCCAGTCGCGTATCTATGACCAAGACCATGGTCCTACTCGGCGAGTCATGCACCAACTCGCCGAGTCCCCTCCTAAATGTGCCCCAAAAATAATTTAAAGAAATACCTGAAATTCCGGGCTGTTACAACTCTCCCCCACTAGAACTAGACTTCGCCCTCAAAGTCTCATTCTGCGAATAACTCCGGATGTTGCTCCCGCATTTCTCTTTCCGGCTCCCAAGTCATCTCCGATCCCTTCCGATGTTGCCACTGAACCAACACCAGAGGTATCTCCTTGTTCCGTAGAACCTTGATCTTCCGATCCCTGATAGCTACTGGTCTCTCGGCGTAATTCAGGCTCGCATCCACCTGAATATCCTCTAACGGAACCACTGCCGCTTCATCGGCTATACACTTCCTCAACTGTGATACGTGAAAGGTATTGTGAATCTGACTCAGCTCCGCTGGCAACTCCAACCGATAAGCTACCCGACCTACCTTTGCAATTACCCGGAATGGACCTATGAACCGGGGCCCCAATTTGCCCCTCTTCCTGAACCGAATCACCCCTTTCCAAGGAGAAACCTTTAGGAGAACGAAGTCGCCAACCTGGAATTCGAGCTCGGACCGGCGTCTGTCCGCGTAACTCTTCTGTCGGCTCTGGGCGGTCAATAACCTCTGCCTCACCTGTTGAATCTGTTCGGTCGTCTGAAGTACGATCTCTGTACTGCCCATCACTCTCTGTCCCACTTCTCCCCAGCAAATGGGAGTCCGACACCTCCTACCATACAACAACTCAAAAGGTGGCATACCAATGCTCGAATGATGGCTGTTGTTGTAGGAAAACTCAGCCAACGGCAGATGCGCATCCCAGCTACCCCCGAAGTCTAACACACACGCTCTAAGCATGTCTTCCAATGTCTGAATCGTCCGCTCGCTCTGACCGTCGGTCTGGGGATGGTATGCGGTACTAAAATGCAGTTTAGTACCCAGTTCCTCATGGAATTTCTTCCAGAACCTGGAAGTGAAACGTACATCGCGGTCCGAAACAATCGAGGTCGGCACTCCATGCCGAGATACTATCTCTCTCACGTATAACTCTGCCAACTTCTCTGCTGATGAACTTTCGCTAATGGCAAGGAAGTGTGCACTCTTTGTCAGCCTATCCACAATCACCCAAATCGCATCGACTCCCCTGGCAGTTCTCGGCAATTTGGTGATGAAATCCATCGTGATCTGTTCCCACTTCCACTCAGGAATCTCCAAGGGCTGCAACTTACCATGCGGTCTCTGGTGTTCGGCCTTAACCCTACGGCAGGTCAAACACCTCTCAATGAACCAAGCGACGTCTCTCTTCATGCAAGGCCACCAATACTCCTTTCTCAAATCCAAATACATCTTCGTAGCACCGGGATGGATCGAGAATTTCGATCTGTGAGCCTCCTCCATCAACGTAACACGCGTACCGCCCACGAATGGTACCCAATCCGACCTTGAAACGTCAGAAGTCCCGTCCATCCATAACGAACTCTGAAATCAACCCGACGACCCGCTCCTTTTTCTGCATCCCAGATTTCACAACCTCGGCCTGTGCCCCACGAATAGCATCTAATACCGGAGTCATCACCGTTAATCTCAAACATACGTCCCGCAATGTAGTGCTCTCCGCCCTACGACTCAATGCATCGGCTACCACATTAGCCTTGCCTGGGTGGTATAGGATCTCACAGTCATAGTCCTTAACCACGTCTAACCATCTCCTCTGACGCATATTTAGGTTGGGTTGATCCATCAAATACTTCAAACTCTTATGGTCCGTGTATATGGTACAACGAACCCCGTACAGGTAGTGACGCCAAATTTTGAGGGCGAACACTACTGCCCCCAACTCTAAGTCATGCGTGGGATATCTCGCTTCGTGAGGCTTCAGCTGCCTCGATGCATAGGCTATCACATGGCCCCTCTGCATCAACACTGCACCCAGTCCTGAAATCGATGCGTCGCAATATACGACAAAGTCCTCCATCCCTTCCGGGAGAGCTAATACTGGGGCTTCGCACAGTCTCTGACGAAGTGTCTCGAGGGAAGTCTGCTGCTCGGGTCCCCATGAAAATGTAACACCCTTCCGGGTCAATCTGGTGAGCGGCACCGCGATCTTGGAGAAGTCCCTAATGAACCTCCGATAATACCCCGCCAACCCAAGGAAACTCCTGATCTCAGAAGGTGACTTCGGTGCCTCCCAACTCATCACCGCTTTCACCTTGGCCGGATCGACCAATATCCCTGCCTGATTTACAACGTGCCCCAGAAATTGAACCTCCCGTAACCAGAAGTCACATTTGGAGAATTTTGCATATAGCTTCTTCGACCTCAGTACCTCAAGGACCTCCCTCAAATGTCCCTCATGCTGCTCTCTAGACCGCGAATACACCAGAATGTCGTCGATAAATACAATCACAGACCGATCCAGCATCGGCCTGCATACCCTGTTCATGAGATCCATGAACACTGCTGGGGCATTGGTGAGCCCAAAAGGCATCACCACGAACTCGTAATGCCCATACCGCGTCCTAAATGCTGTCTTCTGGACGTCCTCATCCCGCACTCTTACCTGATGGTACCCTGATCTCAAATCAATCTTGGAGAACCAAGATGCCCCTTGCAACTGATCGAATAGATCATCGATCCTCGGTAACGGGTAACGGTTCTTGACCGTCACCTTTTTCAGCTCCCGGTAATCGATACACATCCGGTGTGAACCATCCTTCTTCTTGACGAACAGAATCGGTGCTCCCCACGGCGAGCTACTCGGCCGAATAAATCCCTTCCCCAACAACTCTTGAAGTTACGAGGACAACTCTTGCATCTCTGGAGGTGCAAGACGAT